ATCAAGTTGGCCTTGATTCTTTTAAACATTGTCAAGTGCTATACCTATGATCGATGATCGATATAAAACTTGTCAAGTGTGCTTTGGATTTTTTTTAATCGTGTTGCCAGCATTGGCGATTTCTGTCATTTTCGTATGAGAAGTGTCACGTTTATTTTTTGAGGTTATGAAAATCAAATACCGCATTCTACATCAAACATAACGTCAAACTGACAGATTTAAATAACATCAGTCAAAAATTGTGATATTGCCACATTTTTTTTGTGCATTTCAAAGCACATTTGACAAGTTTTTTTTAACCATGTGGAATGATACAACTTAACCTCATTTTATCATATAAAAAAATTAATTCAAACTCAAATTGTTTTCTTCTATCAAAAAACCAACGCCAACTTGATGACCTTTTCAACTGAACACCGGTTATGTATTAACATAATTCAAAATTAGGTAGATTTTATAAAGTCATCACACTATTTGAAACATGGTACTTTAAAAAAATCGGTGTTTTGGTGACATCGTTATATATACCAAAGAATCTGTATATCCACCATACTCCAACACATAAATTAGAAAAATGAAAAGTATACATTTTATGGTTTGTCTACAGGATAGTGGAAAATTCGAATCACGGCAGTTCGACTATACAGGGTTAGTCACGAGAGAATTACTTCTGAAAATTATTTTTACGCAACCCAAAATACGAATACCATGTACCATTTGATACTAACTGAATTTAAAATGCAATGCTTAATCCATGGTTGCTTTGAGTTTGGCAATCTCATTTTGACAATTGTGGAAAATGAGGTTACGCGAATGTCCATGGTGGTACCGCAGCCAGTCGGAAATCTCCTCCGGAGCCGCTAATAAATTTGTCAGTGTGCCTCTTGATCTTTTACAACCGATTAATCACGAGAAAATTATTTCTAAAAATTCCTTTTACGGCATTTTATTCAAAGGTCACAACACAAACTCAAACAAGTAAGTAAATAATTTAACTACTAATCTGTTGAAAATGTTGGGTATTTTGGGGGAATGCTACGGCTTTTTTGTAAATGGATGGCCGAAGAAGTCCAGAGGTTGCAGATTTGCGCTTCGAAGAGGCTCTAGGTGACGCAGAGATGGCGAATTAACACATGCACATTAGCGGCGAACAACATTGTTAGAGCACTTACGGCTTCATAGCCCAGATTGATCTGATTGTATGTCGTCGATCCAATGGGGCTCTAGAGGCGAGTCAACGATGGAAAAAAATGTTAAAAATTAATTAACGTCAAAGTGACACTGCCAAAGTCAAAGCAATCATGGATTAGGCATTTCATTATAAATTTAGATAATATCAAGTGGTACAGGGTATTAGTATTTTGGGTTGCGTAAAAATAATTTTCAGAAGTAATTCTCTCGTGACTAACCCTGTATTTGCAAAGACATTACTAATTAAAATTTGTACAATAACTCGTAACCTTTATCACAGAAGAACTGATCATCCCATCTGTGGTAGAACACAAATATGGTAAATTTCGTGCCCTTGTGTTAGATCCAAAACACTTGCAGAGTTTTAGAAAAAAAATAGATGAAAATTAGATTCGTTCTTGGAAGGTTCCCACTATAGGGCGACACTTACGTATTAATCAAAGTTACCTATAATTTTATGCTTTCTACTTTTTGTTTTAGGTAATACTATTCAGTATAATACATCAAAAATAAAATTATTACACATTCTCTAAACAATTTATTTTAAAGTGAAATGTGCTTGTTTTTTGTAATAGTTTATTTTTACTATTAAGTAGATCAAGGTTACAAATATTTGAATCAGTCTTGTTTTTCGTTGCAAATTTTGGCGAACTTGTCAGTGTTATACAAACAAGTTAGCTTAATTAACAGTCACTTTCCAAATTAACAAATTACTGAAAACAGTGAAACAATATTTCAAAGAAATAAAAAAAAAGTGTTAATTAATTATCGGATGAAGTGGTTTTTATTACAGTCAGTACTCCAACAATATAACGCCAATTTTTCATTTTTAAAACTATGTAGTTAAAAATGGGAGAAATAATAAATTAATTCATCACCATCCGTAAAATATTGTCCACCTATTTATATTATATTTCTGTATGCTTCCTGCAGTCGACGTTAATTCTTTTTCAAAAGCTTTCATGTCCGTTGTAATAAACCTATAGTATAATTTAGAATTATAAATACTAACTTCACTCAGGGTACAATTCTTAGTACCTACTGTAGGAATTATCATTATATTAGATATATTATACAGCAACATTTGTCCCTAGGCACCCTTGAGATGTATAAGGGTGGAAGAACATGTTGTATAGACAATCGTCATGAAAGGCTACCATTAGTTACCTGAGGGAATGCTGGCTATTGGAGGATCGTTTAATTTTGTGTGAAATGGGCCGTCGAGGGTAATAGCAGGTCTCCCGGACAAATAAATAAGAAGTTGAGTGTTCGATCAAAGCCCGCACCATATTTCTGACGTTCGGTGAGCTTGAACGTTTAATTTCCGAATGGTAGGAATAATGTCTGTAATAATATTCTATTAATGTATAATTTTGTGGAAACCGATAATTGCAGGTTCGGCTTAGCCGAGAGCTGTCATTCTGACGGGCCGTCAGGTAGAAAAGGCAGCCGGTGCTGCTCCATGAATTATAACTTCGGCCTATTTTTAGTCATAACTTCAGAGCCGAATGTTTTTCCTTATTTACCTGTCGCTGCGGTCAGACTTATTTCTCTAATTTATTGCGACAGCTCACTATTTGTTGGGACAGTGGAGGGACATCTCGCAACCACCGACAGTAATTCATCTCGGACAGCAAAAAATGATAAGTAGATGGTATTGCTTGTAAACCGCAGCATTAGACAACAATGGTGTGTTAATTTTGACGTACGACCCATTAAGAGACGCGCGAACGAATCGGGCCTCAACATCACATTTTCCGACGCTAACAATAAATTATGAGCCAAATCGAAACTGTGAATGATTGGGTTTGCACACAAAAAATTACCTCAAAAGTATTCATCATAATATCGAGCTTGTCGAACTTGTCGGAAATAGCAGCTCTTCAGCATTTGGGAGCATGATTCATCAGGATTCTTCTCAAGATCAAGGACACTATTGTACTCAGCATGTGTGACGAATCGGTACTAAACTGTTCAGCAGGTTGAAATTATTTTGAGAGCTACTGTAGGAAAAAATAAAGTAGAAACCAACAACTACCGCAGAGATAACATAATGCCGTTTGTAATGAAACATTCACTGAAAAGATACCTGAAAAGCGTAACAAAGGATGCAGTTTATCGAGTTCTATTAAAAGCCAAAAAACACTGAGGCGTACCAAGCATGATTCGTCTATTTGAAGCTTGTAAGACCTGACAATAACACAATTTTTGTTATTAAAAAAAAAAAGCCAAAGTTGATTTTTGTAGTATGTTTAATTGACGTTTCACAACTTGCCGAGTACGAAGAGGTCGGTCCCCCACTTCCGTCCGTCATTTGTTTGTTTACAATTTTATTAGACAAGCAAATCCAAAACTACCGACTTTATGAAAGTTCAGGTGTACGTACACTTTATTATTATTATCGCGCAGATGCTAACAAAAATTTGCTGACGTCATCTCGCTTGCAATTTATGCTGTAACGTGCTCCTGTGTTTGCGACTTAATAATGTAGTGATATTTTTGACTTTTTGTGAAAAAAAATTAAAGAAGAAATGATAAAAAGACGGGCTTATCAAAACTGAAATAAGTTATGTACGCTTCCATAATAAGGAGCGTAACAGACACTTCAAAAATGGTAATGTTGAAAAAACGTATATGGTGATGATGGACTTACGTCATTTAATCGTCACGTGTTTGTTTGATGGCTTCTTAATTGGGCCATGAGCGATTTTATAGCGTCTGAAATTTAGAGTAGTGTTTAAGATTAAACAAATCAAAATAAACAATGGTGCCGTAAAATAAGGCGTTTATTCATCAGGATGAAACACGGCCATCTTTCAGACATAATGAATTCATAGAAGTGAGTGAATGCATGTAGTTTGCATAGGCTCAAAGAGCACATTATGCAGACTATGTGAAACGAAAACAGCCTTATCTGTTGGAGTAGTTTGCTCTGGCCGGAAACGTAGGGGTGGCGGGCGAGAAGGTGTTCCACCCCCGCTTCGCAACGACTTACGATGCACTTCCGGCCGCACACTGTGCCCTCGATGGCCAAGATTGGCCGAAGAGTCAGGACGTCGCCAAAAAATTTGTAAAAATTAACGGTTATGGACAACAGAATTTGAAAAAAAAAATTGTGGACATTTTTGAAGTAACTGTTCCTAAGGTTGAAGAAAATTAAAATTGTTCTTTCTTTTGAATGATTTTGTGAATAAAAATATCTCGTTTTGAACAATAATAATAATAACACAATTTTGTAGGAAAGCGACGGAGTGAGCGAGTTATTTAACTAGATTGTACAGAACCAGTTTAAAAAAATATTGAAAGAAATATTTCAAAGATAGGGTAAAAGAAACTAGAGGAATAAACGTCGATAAACAAATTATAACTAAAAAATAAGTAAGTATCGTAAAATGCACATGATGTTTATTCCGAATGATCGGCTAAAATTTCTATACAATTTTCTCCCGTATGTAAGAAAAGTTTATTCACACTTGATTGGCTTCAGATTGCGCCAAACAGAGAATTTTATTTTTTAAATAACACAATCTCTTTGTTTACTATTTTTTTTATTCAATGAGTTGGTTAAAATTTTTAGCAAATTTCAATGAATTTCGGACGTAATTCACTTTGTATTTAAAAAATTAAATAAATTCACTGATCGTTTCATATTCACAAATACTCGAGTAAAAACTTCCAGCAAAACACTTTCACACTCTTGTATGATTCTCACTTTTAGATCTTCAATTGTATCCACTCGTTGTTCAAAAATAGTGTTTTTCAAAGTCGGAAACAAGATATAATCTGTTAATCTGACGGTGTCGAATCAGGTGATCGAGGTGGATGGATATGGTCTGTGTGGAAGCAAGTTAAACAGTCGTTATAAAATTCCCGTAGCAAATGCAAGCTTGTTTGAGCTGTATGAGCTGTTGCGCCATCATGCTGAAATATTCATTCAGAAATTTTTCAGGACCAAGCTGGTGAATAAATTCTTGCAATATGTTCTGATGTCTCGCAGCTCTAACTGATTTCTCGAAGAAAAAGGGCACAAACAGTTATCTGGGAGCACACCAAACTCCATTGTTTTGCGGATATAAAAACATTTCTTCAAAATAATGAGGATTTTCTGCACTCCACATCCTCATATTTTGCGAGTTTACGTACCCTGATAAATGAAACCAGGTTTCATCACCAATATTTATATACTTAGTTTAAAAACAAAAAAAAAATCGCTGCAATCGTTAATTGCTTACTTTCAATATATGTATTTGTTGTGTATGTGTCTTTTTTAACTAGTGAGAATATCAGATCATAGCTATGAAATTATTCTACTGCCATCTTTTTTTAAGTCATCTTTCCTTTTAAGTCTGAAAGAATTTTAGAAGTTTCCTGTGTTTTATTTTTGAAAGTAGGTATATGAAAAGATCTTGGGGTCCCTGTGCTTTGTTTTCGGAAGGATTGAAAAAACCTGTGGGTCTTGAAAAGAGTCTGAAAAATCCTTGGAGTCGCCTGGTGTACTTTTTCTAATAATACAAAATGCTCTTTGGATTCCTTATTTTTGATCTTCAAATCTGAAATAATTTCAGAAGCTTTTCGTGTTTTGTGTTTGAAAAAGGTGGAAAAAATTGTTAGGGGCCCCTAGTGTTTTAAATATATGAAAGATACTTCGGGGAGTCCCTTGAGTTTTATTTTTGAAAGAATGTGTAAAAATCTCAGATATACTTCTGTCTTATTTAATTATTGGAGTTTTAACTCCTTTCTTTTTGTATTATAGAAAACGTATACGACGTGCGCCGGAATAGGATGTCGAGTTCGATACCGACATCTGAACTAAGTCTGAACAAATAAAAAAAGTATATTTTATAATAAACAACAATTGGCAATACATACAATCATCATTATTAATCATCATTTTGATAAAAAATACAAATGCGACATATTTTTGGTTTTTATTATTTTTTAAGAGAAAATTAATGATTTCGCCGTGTATACGTGTTCAATTTATATAAATTGATAACGCAGAGTTTAAATTCCATCCGTGCGTCCCTGGGTCGACGCACTCTTTTTTTATTTATTTATTTCTTTTTTTGAAACAGTGAAAGAATCTTAGAAATCCTTGTATTTTGTTTTCGAGAGAGTTTGAAACAATAATGTTTCCTTGTTTAGAGGTGCTCGATGTGCTTTTTTTTTAATAATATGGAAGAATCTTTGGGTTCCTGCATGTTTTTAAAAAAAAAATCATGAATCTATGGTATTTTGTTTTTGAAAGAGTTAGAAAAAACCTTAGGGGCCTCTAGTGTTTTATATAGGTATGTATATGAAAGAACATGTGGGTTTCCTGCTGCTTATTATCGAAAGCATGTTAAAAACTTGGGAATTCCTGTTTTGGGGTCGTGTTTTATTCCTAAGAGCATTTGGAAAAAAAATGGATCTCAGTGGTGTTTTTTATGAGTTTGAAAGAATCTGAGAGCTCCATGGTGTTTTATTTTTGAAATATTTTTAATAGATCTTGGGGTCCCTGTGTTTTGATTTTGATAATTCAAAAGACTTGAAGGTTTTGTTATTTTGGTTTTGAAAGATTTTGGAAGGCCCTTGGAGGGCTCTGGTTTACTTTTTCTAGTAATCCAAACGATCCTTTGGGTTTTTAATCTTTTGTTCTTTAAATATGAAAGAAATTTCAGGAACCTCTTTTCGTGTTTTGTTTTTGAAAAAGTTAGAAAAAATTGTTAGGGGTCTGTAGTGTTTTAAGTATATGAAAAGTTCTTCGGCGCTTCGTGTGTTTGAAGGAATGAAAAAAATCTCGAGATCCTTGTGTTTTAGTTTTTTTTTTTTTGACGCAAAACAATCTTAGAAGTTGCTTATGCCTTGTTTTTGAAAGGGTTTTGAAATATTCTTAAAAGAACCTGATGTGTGTTTTTTTTTAATATGAAAGAATCGTTGGGTTCCCTTGGTGTTTTTTAAGGATTTGAAAAAAGATCACGAATGTCTCGTGTTTATTTTTTTAAGGCTTCTATAAAGCTCTCGAACCTCTGGTGTTTTATTTTTAAAAGAGTTTGCAAAAACCTTGAAGTCTCGTAATGTCTTCTTTTTAAGAATATCAGAGAATGTTCTTTGTGTTTTGAAGAATTCTGGAGGCCTCTGGTGTTTTGTTTTTAAATAAATTTCAAAGAATCTTTTGGGCTTCATCACTGATAAAAAACACTGTAAAATAGCCTTCGTGCATCGGTGGTTGCATACTTCCAATATAGCTATATGTTGGTTGTTCTTTTTTTAAATTGGTGAGAATACGATATGACATGACAAGTCAAAACTTACTTTGAAAGCGTTCTTAAAGATGTATGGGGGCTATCATCTATAAACTGTCGGACTTTTCTGAGAGCCTCGGGAGTTCGTTTTGTTATTGTGCGACTTCCTGATTTCCTCTTAATACTACCATCAAAATAATGCATGACTAAATGTCCTTAAAAAATTAGCTTGAAAAACAACAAAAGCATGAAAACAGGGTTGAGCTTCATACACATATGGATAGTTTTGAGTCACTCTCAAATTAAAATGTAACTGTAAAGAAGACTGACTTTCGCAGAAAATTGTATGATCAATAAGCGAAACTCAAACCACAATAAGGCAAGATTATAGGCAACCCACCACAACCCAAGTTGTATGTTCTATAAACGAAACCAAAGAAGTCCTGTAGTGAAATCTATCTAAAATATTTTAGATTACAAGTTTACTTTAAACAAGCTTTGTGTGCAGCAGAGGGTAACCGATACGCAATAACTTTGCAAATAACTTCATTAGTTTTCAAGCATGCAGAGTATCATTATTGCCCGTACTATTTTTAACATCACGTATACGAATTTTCTAAGAACACATAAAATTTTACCAGTTTTCAGAAATCAAATAAAGTCTTCAGAAATTAGCGACGGAAGTTTAAGTAAATGTCGCTACAAGTTTAAGTCAGTTTTGAGCTACTTCAATTTTTTTATTTTTATTTTTACCATCACTTATCGGAAATAACTTCTTGAAAATCCCAACAAAAAAGAATTTGTGTTATTCAATGAAAAAAATACTACTAATAAAAGTGCAAACATGTTAAGTGAATGTAATATTGGGGCCAGACAAGAGGTTACCTACTTAAGAAACTATAAATAGTTGATTGAACATTTTTTGGCGCTTTACGTAATCGTTGTAAAAAGTTCATTATATTTGGATTCCTTACGCATAGTTAAATACACTCATTGTGTAGGTAGTTTTCTGAAATTTTTCCTTATACAGTTTAGTGAACGCCAATTAGAGCTTTTCTGACATGATAACGCTTATTTGCGCTGTTTTGATCATTTATGTAATGGACAAAAAAATTAAAGCTTTTTGAGAATCAGCAAAATCTTATTAAAAACGAAAATAGTCTTGTTCTTACTTCCGTAAACTACTAAGACTCCTAAAGCTACGACGGCAAGCTTGTGGGTGTTGCACCACCACCCCCACATAGCACCGCCCCCATGCACTTCCGGCACACGCTGCTCCTCAAGCCCAAGATTTGCCCAAGAAAATCGGAGCACGATCGACTTTCTCCCGAAAAACAAACCGTAAATTAAAATCGAGCGCTTTACTTAGCAAACATATGTCAAAACAGGGTCATAATTTTCGGGAAACAGTCCGGGGAGTGAATTATGGCCTTCGCTAGAATGTTTTCCTAGTGTACGCCACTGCCAAACCCAAATACCATCTCAAGGGTGGTCGAATAACTGACCCAAAACTCTATTTAAAAGTCGTGTTGTGTCCGTCGGGAAACTCCCTGCTGAGCAACTTTTCACCCCGATGGCCATTGAAAATGGAGGCGGCGCACCCTGTGTGATGGAGGAGTATAACTAACGATGCAATCTTAAATTACGTGTACCATGTATATGTGGAAAGGCTATAGAGGAAATGGGAAATGCTAATGCCGTAATGCAGTGGCCATAAAACTCTATCTGCATGCATAGAACGGCTTAATTCGACCGAGACGAACACCGACGGTGAAGGGACAGGCCCTTAGCGTACTCGATCGAAAAACAATTTCGTAATGGTATGAAATCAGTCGGTCGGCTATCTCATTTCCTATTATTTTAATCAGTTTTGGCGAGATTCGGTTGCTGCAGCGAGGCCAAGGAGGTTTCATTTTCCAACCAACTATAATTGTACTTATTATTAAGATTTAAACTTATGCGTATGTGTTACAATTTTTGTTTTAATAAAAGACAATAACGTAACATAATGAGCAAATCATATAAAATAGGTGTACAGGTGGCAACAATAAATTGTGGTCGTTAATGTCACATTAGAACACTTTCCATTGTATTAAAAATGGCAATGAAATTAAAAATTTAAATTAACCAGGTATAACCAATAGTTCGAGTTTTAGTTTAAAAGTTACTTGCGTAGTAATTTTTTGCACTAAGAAAAATTAAGATGTTTAATTATTACAGAGATTTATGTATTTGTGAAACAGTGACCATGATACTACTTGATACTAACTGACTAATTTATAGTTTTTACAAATGCTTGCCATTTGTTTGGGATAGTTTGCTATGTAATTAATTTCGAAACTAATATCATCATCATTAACATGTTATTTTTTTTTGCTTTTTAAACTGTAAATAATCAACTTTTAGACACTGTCTACTACACTGTGGAGAGTGTTACAGGGATTTATTTAAATAAAACGGCTTAAAAACTATATATATATTCAAGAATAAATTCGAGGGAATTGCTAATTTTGTTTATTTTTTTCTGATAATATTATCATTATTCATTGTTATAAGAACTGATTGTCTCTTTTGTGTCATCGATGTTTTACACGACCGTAAAATAAAAACATGACACTGATATAGAAATAAAAGACAGCTATAAAAAATTCCTTTTGAACACTAGTAGTAACAGAAAGTTCTTTGGCACAATTATCAAAATGATAAGTTTATCAAAGTACCATTTACTTTATTTGAAAGCAGTATTCGTGGTATTGATCAGAATTTTGTTTTGAGTATGTAATGGTGAAACTTCCTGTACATCAGGTATGTAGACATCCCGCATAAATGACAAAGTGTAAAATCTTATTCCACAGTACCTCTCCATTAAAAATTAATGTGTGGTGCAAGTTTCGACAGACTTTAAAGCTTATTGAATTATCACAAAACCCGACAATGAAACAAAATGTTTTCAGCAAAGAAAAGGGGAAATGACATTTCTTCACCCAATCGAGTACTACTAAGGTGGTGGTTTCGAAATGACAGTCACACCTACAAATGAACTCACTATTCAGTGCCCATTTAGACACATTTAAAATGCATAGAATGCCAAAAATTCAACTGCAAAAAATCAACCTTTTGACGTTTAAATCGTGTCCGTCGCCTGAAAACGGTTTTCAAGCGGTGTTAGATTGGTTTTCGACGACGAAACTAATAGTGCTCGAAATTGAACAACAAGTTAATCCTGAAAAGTTGACAAAAAAAGTGTTTCAAAATTTTCAGTTCTTGAGATACTTGAAACTGGGAAACAATAGATTTAAAGTGTTGGAAGAAGACATTTTCGCAAATATCCCGAATTTATTCGCACTGGAATTACGACACAATAATCTAACACAACTGAGTACAAAGCTGTTTGAAGAATTACGCGTTTTGGAATGGTTGGATCTGGCAGATAATAAAATAGAAAAGAAACCTTGCGGTTTATTTCGTTCTCTCAAAAAATTACAATATTTACATTTGTGGGGCAATAAAACTAAGTTTTTAGACGAATGCTCTTTTCAACGACTTTCTGATTTGAAGTTTCAATGACTTTCTGACAATGTGTTCAAAGATTTACGACAACTGATGAATCTAAGTTTAGCAGGTAATAAAATTAATGCTATTTAGTCAAATATGTTCAGATATGGTGCAAACCTGCACTCTGTGATATTGAGAAATACTCGTAATCCTAATCTTATTGTCGGCGAATACTTACTTGTTTTATAATTTCAGTTTATTACAAAAAATAGATTTGTCGAATTGCAATTTGGGAAATACATATTTCCGAAAACATTTTTGGAAATTCAAGAAAGATGAGAATCGTCGATCTGAGAAATAATAATCTGAGGGAAATTCCGCAAAACTTGTTCCGAGATCTTTTTTGTTAGAAAAAATTGATATCTCTCACAATCGAATCAAGGGCGTTGAAAATACGTTCACTTCTTTAATAAAACTAAAAATACTTTTTTTGCAACACAACGTCATTGAAAATATTACTGAAAATACGTTTTCTGATTTGGTTCGTCTTGAAGAATTGAATCTTGAGCAGAATAAAATTAAATATATAAATCCAATGGCTTTTTATAATAATAGTTACTTGAGAATAATTAATTTGTCAAGAAATTTGTATTCTGGAGAAGACACACTATACTCAAGAATTTGGTGTATCTGGAAGCAGTAGATTTCAGTTATAATTTTATAGATCAAATTGAAAAAGTTATAACACTGGATAACAAAGTAATGTTGGAAACTTTAAACTTAAGAGGAAATTTCATCACTAAGGTCACGGTAAGTACGCACCAACTTTTCATTTCCTTCAAATAATTATTAAAAATTTTAGCTCAGTTACTTGGAAGGTCCTGGAGGAGTGGATATAGATCTAACATTCAACAATATAACTGTAGTCAGCTTCAAGAATATCGATCGTGAGAATGGTACTAATAATTCCATACTTCGTCTAGGGCATAATCCCCTTCATTGTGACTGTCACAATTACGACTTATTCAAATATTTTAATGGTGAAGTGTCAGATAATGTGTTGATGAAGTTTGACATTAGAACTGAAAACGTGGCGTGTGCTACACCTAAAATACTCAGAAAAAAAACTCCAAAAATTTTAAAATTGTGGTCTTTGGTCTGTCCGCTTGAAAACCTTACTATAAAAACAGGTTGTTCTGAAATTTGTGAGTGCAGTTGGAGACCATTCGACGGATCAGTTATTATAGACTGTGCTAACAGAAATTTGGACAAAGTTTCCCAAAATTGTGACGAATAGTTTCAGGTGGATTAATTTCAGTAATATCGAAATAAATGTGACAAATAACAACATAGCTGTAATAAATCTGACCAAATACGATGAGATCACTAGACTTTACATGTCCCACAATAAACTCAAAACCATTGCTGGAATACCAAGGAGATTAAAAGTATGAGTCTATATCCACTGTTTTCTTACAACTAATTGACTTTTATAGGTTTTAGAACTTGATCATAACCATTTGTCAGCGCTAAGTTCTGATTTTCTCCGTACTTTGGACACATCTCATTTAGTTAACGTCAGTTTGAAACACAACCCTTGGATTTGTACCTGTGGTTCTGAAGTTTTGACAAATTTCGTTCGAAAGCACGCAAAAATCGTGAGATTTAATTAAACAAAAACAGTAAAACTTTTTAATTTTTTACTTTTTAGATGGATTTTAAGCAAATTTATTGTTCCAACAGCACGATTCCTCTTGTTAGTTTAAACCAGAGCGACCTTTGCAAAGATATTACCCTAATCGTTACTGTTGTCGTAATATCCCTTTTGTTATTGCCAGCAGTATTCTCTGCCTTATTTTACAAATTTCAACAACCAATAAAAGTTTGGATGTTTTCTAAAAACTTATGCTTGTGGTGGGTTGCAGAAGAAGATTTAGACAGGAATAAAGTTTTCGATGCTTTCATCTCCTACTCCTCCAAAGACGTAGATTTTTTTGTAGAAACTTTAATACCAGAGTTAGAAAAAGGACCAGAAGATTATAAACTTTGTGTAGATTTCCGCAATTGGACTCCCGGAGAATTGATTAGTTCAAGTGAAGTCAAATCTATAAATGAATCGAAACGACCGATTATTATTCATTCGCAGAAGTTCTTGAAGAGTGTTTGAGGACTTGCTTAACTAGGACTTGATTAACCTATTTTTCAAGATTTGAACAGGTCTTCTTAAGACTACGATAGTAGCAATTTATAATTTTATTTCCAAAATCTACAGGAAAACCCGTTATAAATTAAAAAAAAAGTTTGAATTGGGTGTCCGGTGATTTAACCCCTCGGGACATCACTCCTGAAAATGTCCATCATATATCCACCCATAGAACACATGCATAATACATCGAAATGCGCCCGAAAATCGAAAAGAATGATGTAAGTGTACAGTAGATCAAAACCTGCCTCGCATGTATGCATATCCGAAGCGGTGGCCATAAATACTAGCTAACTGTGTACACATACCCTGTGCGTTTGTTCGGGGGCGGTTCGCCGGCGGCGTTCATGCATCATTATATAAAGTGCAGCTGTTATCAGAATTATTACACCTTAATAAAGTCGGTGTCGGCAGTACGCCCGGTGACAATTGCGCTACAGCCGGATTCCTCATTACCCGGAAACACATGCGTCGTTTATCATCCAGCCGCCTCCAGCGACGCCACTACGTGCCTGGGGACGCCGCCGCTCCTTCCCGACGGCGTGCATCACGCCGCCCAGCCACCCCAAGCTCCCACGGATATTCCTTACACGCCCCGAATTCACACCACCAATGCATATGAGATAGTTTCAGCTTACCATGCATATGCATAATATAAAGGGCACAGGGCCGTAACGGAGATGAAAAAGTTGGGAATTGGCTTCGGAGATAGGTGGGTCAGATTTGCTGCCAGAATGTTTATTCAAGTTATTTATCGGATTAGTAAACGGATCACGGATTTTATCGTTTTCCACCATATACGAAACTGGAATAATTTACCAACAAAGCTCATTATATAGCACAAGCCTGTGATTTACATTTCCGGGTAGATTAATTTTTTGGGGTAGGTTTTATTGGACTTGAATAAATTGGACATCACTCGGACGTTAGGTGGCTGGTTTACTTTCACACTAGGTTCGAATGAAAAATAGGTACCGGAATAATTATAAATATGTAATGGGCGTTAAAATAAGACTGTTGTAGTTAGTTCATCATTTTATTTCGATTAAATGCGGTAGCGAATCTACAAAAAAATCTGTTTAGAAACGCCACAAGATTGATCGTACCAGTCCCGGATTCATAAAAATTAAGATGGCTTTTTTGTTCTATGTGATTTTAAAGATTATAGTTTTCGAAGTTGAAACATGAAATTTAAGTCTGTCCACGAAAGCTCCAGCTACCACAAAATCTGACTATCGGCTTTTCATCGCAAAGTGTAACGTATACATTGTACTGAACTGTACAACAGATTAGATTATAAAATATTCAACCAATCGTTGTAACAGAAAAGTCGCCCTTTACCCATTTATCAACCTACACGTACTTTAATAAATAGTTTTTCCTTCCTGACGAGGAATTATTCTTCGCTATAAAAATGTTGACAAGTTTATACTCCAGAACGGTTTAAGATTTGTGGAGGTAAATTTTAAACTCAAAATAAAGCTAAAATGTTAAAAAAGGAAAAAGAAGTCTGAAACCTAATTGAAAGACTGAAAGCACATAAAACAAGCCTATATAGTAAGCATATTTCGAATGTTCTAAACAATGCAAAAATAAGGATATATCTATAAATCTTAGGGTGGAGTTTTGCCTTATGTTATTATCGTCCCGGCAAATTTAGTTTGGACAAATACACAAAAAAATCTTAATAGTATTACTTTAATGTAAATGAAAAATGAGACTATTGCATGCAACCGTGAATTTGCTATTCGAGATGCATAATTACAGTTGGTCAAAATACAAGTCCGAAATGAAATTAAAGATTTGCTTATAATTTAAACCAAGAAAAAATACCTAAAGGACAACGAGATAGAACCACATTTATTGGAAAATGACGCTAAACTAGACTATAAAACAACTCTATTAATGGACCTGATTGTGTTCTTATTTCCCGTTGTAAGCAACAGACGGTGTAGGAGGCCAACTTGAGGACACTTTTTGTTGATTTGCCCTTATATTCTAGTATATTTTATTGCTAGATTACTTAATGACAAATAAAAAATGAGGTATTTTGGTAAAGAACGATCCAGTGGTGAAATAAACTTTTCTCTCCCACGTAAAATAGCTCCTAAACTTTTTAGCGCAGCATTCCCTAACACCCTTACTGCCACTTTTCTGTGTTTTTTAAGTTTCCCTTAGCCGAGTTCCTCCGCGCCCCTACCCGGAAGAATCCCTTGTAATGATTTTTAGCTTTGGACCCTTTCGGATCCGGTTTGGGTTTTGCTATTGTGTTCGATCGTGTGTATGGGGCGGCGGTGGCGGCGGCGGTGGAGCGGCATCTTCGTCACTCGGTCCCCGCTGATCGAAGCGACAAGCCCGGGTAAAAGTAACCCGACCGAAAAATGACTAAGAATCAAAGTCGATACATATTTATGAAGATGATATATTCATAACATGACCGATTTTAATTGGTTCGGTGTAATTAATGGCGGGCTACGTTGCCGGGGCGAGGTGACGGACAGAGGGCGTCCTCGAACGAGTTATAACTTACAAGGCAGTAGCCTTTTTATTTCCTACCTATACAATATTCCTACCTATAATTAGAGGCAGGGTCGGTCGAGTTCTTTCGTTTCGTTCTCTCATTGCAGGCTGGCGCGGTTTAATGAATACAAAACTAATCGTTAAGGCAAAAAATAATAATAAAGTGGCCAGTCGATATAGCGGCCAAGCATTATGCCGAGATGAAATATGCATTCGCCCCCAGCTATCTGCATTGACGATGCCATTACGACCACTACCACGATCCGCCGCTCTCTTAATTACGTCCGACGCGATTAAACGCAACGACCAACGGCCGACCAGCACCCTCTGGCTCTTTGGCGGCGACGTCGGATCGCGAGAAATCAAAAATTCGCACTTTTCCGACAGACCACCGCCTAGATGTGACCACACACTCTGATGCTACTACTGTCATTAGGAGCTGAATAATGTAGGAAATAACTACAAATTATCCACAAATGTCTTTCAGTAGATCAGCAACATCAATGCAAAAAATTCGGAAACAATAATGGCTTCTAAATGTACCCATAAATTGTCATAAAAATGATATCTGACATTCACATAAAAAACCTCCAAAATTTTTGTTTCTAATTTATTCTTTTATACCTAATGCTGCCAAATATTTTTTTCCTCGGCATATTTTTGTCTATTTTTGGATCAAGAGCTCAGCCGTGCCGAATTTCTGCAAGGAAAACTTGTGTGACAAAATCAGCAATTGTCAATACTAATGTTAAAATTACCACTAGATTTTTCAATATACTATTTTTGACATTTATACCTAAATTATTTCAGTAGTGCTTACCTTGTCGTCCAAGACTTTAATTTAGGTTTCTCGTACATCACTGGAAGAGTTGTCAATAGACAGATAAGCTCCGAAACTCCTGGTTGGATGGTACTCAAATTTTATAGGAATTTTACCAATCGTGTAGAATGTTCACCAAAATTTGTTTGATCATCCCTAATACCGACACCTTGATGACTTCAAAATTTTGCTTTAACTTATTGTATAAAGTTAAAAAATCAAGACGGATTAATAAACCACAAGTACAGGGTACGTTATTTTATAAGCATAATTCTGTAGGTGTGGCTTATTAATGGGCCTTGATTTTTCAACCTTGGCATTCAGATTTTCGCAAAAAAATCAAAATTGTATAACAACATTTAACAATAAGATAAGAGGAACGCTGAGCAGTGGCCAATTAGCTCGGTTGGTTAGGCATCATGCTCTCCCCTCATGGGTTGCTTTGTTTTCTGGTTGCTACTATGGCTGATATCATCTAAGAGTATGTCTATTAAAAAAAAACTGAATTTGATTGTACTTCAGGGACGAGAAGAGTTGCAGGAGAATCGACAAACAAAAAGAAGTATAGTAGTATCTCAAGAATAGAAAATATGCTGTAATTTTGACTTCAGAAATGTAAAAGGTTATAGAAAATAAGAATTGGAAATGACAATAAAAATGTCGCATTATGTAACTGGAGCACAAACAAAACCTAATGGATTCCTAAGGGATCCTAAACTAGCCCATTCAGAGGAAACATTATCTTGATGGACTGGAATCAGGCAGAAAAAGTCATCCGTTAATATAGAGAGTTTTTAGAAATAATCAGAATTTGGAATGACCAAAATCGCAAAAGAATGGGAATTCTAGAGCTACATATATTTTAGATTCTTAGAAGAAGTTATAAAATATTTAAAAACTCGAAGCCATAATTTAGAATTAGAACTGATAATACCTAATATTGTTTGGCCTTTGGGTCAATTTCAAACTGGATTTGCGATATCGCAAGTTCTCGTTGCTATTCACGTTTACAATTACAATTTGACACCTATTTTCAGTGGAATAAACATATTTTAACTATTTTTTTGGAAAAAGTTTGAAAGTCGTAAACTCAATTTTCACGTTTGTTTGAATAGATGTCGTGATCGCGATTTAGGATTTGTAATTGATTTGTAATTGGTGGAAGATTATCCATAACTTGACACCAATTTTCAGTCGATTTTAACCTTTTTTTTTTAAACATTTTGGAAGTTCTGAACTCATTTTTCACGTCTACATTGGAATAGATGTCGTGATGACCCTTTCTGGTTTGTAATTAGCGGAAGATTATCTACAATTTTACAGTAATTTTCAGTCAATTGATCCCCATTTTAATCGCATTTTTGGAAAAATTTTGTAAACCATATACTCACTTTTCACGTTTATTTGAGTAGATGACGTTACGACGATTTATGGTTTGTAATTAGCCGATGACTATCTACCATTTGACACCAATTTTCAGTCGATTGAACCTATTTTAACCATTTTTTTGGAAAAATTTTAAAAATTGTAACTTCACTTTTCACGTTTATTTGAACAGATATCACGACGGCGATTTCGGATTTGTAATTGACGGAAGATTATCTACAATTTGACACCAATTTTCAGTCGATTGTACT